CTACCCAGTACTTTAACATAATACCTACTTGTGATGTCATGTAACAGATGCAGCATCATTTCTGACAGATCTTCAGGGAGTTTTAAGTGCTGAATTTCTAGACTTATATGGTAAACCCAAGCTTTCTGTGCATACCACTATAAAATCAGAACTATTTGTAAAAAGGCGATTTTTACATACCAAAGTTCATAGAACTTTTTGAGAAAATTTTCATGTTTAATTCATCTGCCATGAAACATGGATTGCAAGGAAACTAGAAATTATTAGCCTTTTTTTCATAGTAAATACATCCAAATGATATTTCCCAAATGTTTGGGGTTTTTCTCTAAATGAACGATAAAGAATGTTTCAGAAGATACATTACAAAAGCATGATTTCAGTTGGAAGAGGGAGTAGTGAGGAGTACATTATACACCTATTTAAAAATTAATTATTTATATTAAACTATTATCTGGGCTTCTGAATTCTGTCACAAAAGAAATGTTATATAATGATTTAAAGCAGAAAGTGCATTCCATAAATGATACACCTACTAAAATATTAAATACACTCTGCCCAGATTTTTAATTCACAGGGGGGTTTATGTAGGGTCTTTGGCACATTTATTATTACTGAAGGAAGAATACAATCCCATTATCAACTCTTGCAATATAGTGTAGTGGTAGCAATTGTCTTTGTCTGAGCCTTCCATAGAACATTTGAGAATATTCTGAATCAACCCATCATTATGGATCCCATCCACATTTTGCTCAAATTTAATACATTATAGAATTTCCTTAAGAGCCACAAGGACCTCAAAGCCCCATTGATGCTCTGAGAATATTGATTATTAGAATCTTCTCTAATGTAATTTCTCCAACATGTGTGCGCTATTGGATACTCTCAAAATTTCCTTCTTTCATTATAATGTCATTATTTGTGTGACTCTGTACATTACTCAGATCTGGACTCCATCAGAGGATAAGATCTAAAGCTGTTAGAAGAAAACCCAAAAGGCAAACTTGAATTCAGTTGTAAATCCAGTCAGCGTTGATCTTTATTTCTCTACAGCTACTGTGATCATATTTTTAAAACATTTCTTTTCTGCAAATGGATTTATTTATACTCAAGAGCTGTCTTGCAGGACTAGGATCTACAATATTTGCATTTGTTTCCATTCCATAAAATTCCTACAGAGGCAGTCTGAGACTACAGCTGAAGGTAACATATCTTCCCAGAATATAGAAGAACAGTCCTCTACTCCTAGTTTAAACTTGACGCTACAGGTTGAAGTAATTTGCCCTTAAATAATTCAATGCCATTTCATTACTGTAATTGAGAATATTCATTTTCATTTTTAAAACAATCAAACAGTATATGCTGTATTAGCCAATATAACACACATACTAGGAATCTCAGGATGATGTATGACACAGTAGTCCACCTGCCTGTACAGTAGAGACCGTAAAGGCAATGTCAGCCTGTCTCCACTGATCTCCCTTGAGCAGTCCCATGTTGATATTCTGAAAGTTATTACATGTACAAGCCATGTAAATAAACTTCAAAGGCCAAAAAATAAATCAGAAGAATAATTCTGACTAGTAAGATTGAAACTCTTCTTTTTGAAATAATTTTCAGTTTTTAGTGCTTCATTCATGATTTTAGAGCTCTCAGTTAAAAACAGCACTATTTCCTTGAAGTCTATGCAGCAAGAAGACTGTTACTTGTACAAATAAGCATGATGGTCATTGTTGCCAATAGAACAGAAACAAGGCTAGTAGAAAAAAAAGATTACTGTTCTATGTCATTTTGGAAGACATAGCATGAGGGTCTAGACAAAACTATCCAGAAAAGGCAGTTTGGCATGACAGATGCAGTAAACAAACAGGTAAATGTTAGAGACCAGGAGATGCAGCAAGACAAGAGGTTGGGCAAGCACAGAAGAATCACGTCTGGGAAGGGACATAGGGAAATTTGGCAAGCAAACAGAGAGAATGCAAAAGGAAAGAAAAGGGAAATGAAAGGTGAGACGATGGGATGGGTGAACAAGTTGTAATTGCACATTCATTTAACCAAACACTTCTTTCTCCTCACTATTCGAAATTTATTCCATGTTGTGACACAATACTGATTCT